TTCTATTTTCTCCTTAGTTTCTCTAAAAAACATAAGTTTGTAAAAATAAAAAAAAAAAAAAAAAAAAAACCAGCAATGATTATAGTATTGTTAGATTAGGCTTGCAACATATAAAAGTGTAATATATGTTAATATTAGCACAAATAAGAAGAGAGGCAGAAAATGGAGCTATCTTAGAGCAAAGTTGCTCTATTTTACCAGAATTGCATTAGTATTAATCTGAAGAAAACTCTGATAAGATTGTATATCATATTTCTAGATCAATCACTAAATAACCAACTCTAAAAATAGTCCAAAATCAACAGAGGAATGAAATGGTAGAAAGAAAAATATCTGTTAAACAAAGAGATGACATTAAACGAAGGAGAAAAGAATGACATGAAATCTATAGAAAAAAAATAAAGTGGCAGATGTAAGTCCAAACATAGCAATAATTACATTACATGTAAATGGACAAAATACTCTAATCAAAAGGCAGAGATTGTCAAACACAATAAATAAGCAAGATTCAACCATATGCTCTGTACAGAAATACACACAAATAGGTGGAAAGTAAATGAATGGTGGAAAAAAACGCAAAATGTAATCATAAAAGAGCTGGAGGCATTATGTTAATACTAAACAGACGTTAAGCAACACTCCTAGAAACAAAGAATAATTTCATAATGATAAATTATCAATGCATCAGGAAAATATAAAAATTATAAAGGTTTATGCATGTGTCAACTCAGTTTCAAAAGGCACAAAGCAAAAACTTACAGAACTGAAGAGGGTAGATAATTCAACACTTAAAGTTGAATATTTCAATACCCCTCTCAGTAACTGAAAGAACAATTTGCATTAAATCAGTAAGAATATTAAAGACGTGAACAATAGCCACCAAACTGATATAACTGGCATTGGTAGAATATTCTACCCCAAAAGAGCAGACTACATAGTCTTTCCAAATGTACATGAAACATTCTCTAGAAAACACCATTTGCTAAACCATGTGCTACACTATATGTGGTATCAGACTAGCCATGTGCATACAGTCATTGTGGTTTAAATCTGTTTGTGACAGAATGAGAACACTGGGGCAGTCCTGGATTTGAATCATGATTTAGGAATTTACTAGATGTTAAATTTTGGACAAGCTCTTCAACTTGTATGAGATTGTGGATAGCAAAATTGCCTACTTCACAGCTTGCTGAAAGAATTCAACATAATACGTGTTAGTGTCTAAAACAGGAAGGGCTCAATGAAGGGTAACTAACATTGTTTCATTATCATGAACACCCAGAAGTAGCTGTTACTCTTTCCTTATTTTGCCCTTTTAAGTAAGAAGTAGAGAAGCCTTATCTATTCTAAGTGATGAGATGACAATCAATGGAAACTAAAATTTGCTAGGGAGTGGAGCTGAAGTAGTAACAAGATATGCTTCTGGCAGTTGCTTCTGGAGCTTGGTAGTGAAGAGCCAATGTCCTAAACATATTTCCCATACATTTTGAGTATTTGGGCCCAATAACAAGATCAGTTAGTACCCAAGATAATTTATATTATGGTTCCTGAAGGCAAATACTATTTTGGAATGACTAGGAAGCAGGTTTGTTTACAAGTTCATAGTAAGTGGCAACAATTCTATCATACCTTCTATTTTTATACTTTTAATTTACATACTTGTACCAGTAAAATAATAGCTATATTTTACTAAGATTTAACAAGCAGATTTTTTAAAAACAACATGGCAAGTATTCAGTACAGATTTATGTATTCAGTGTGCTCTATGACAGGTGCATTAAAATGTATATACATCCAATTGTCTCTAGTCTGTCATGTAGGATTTCACATTGTATCCTACAGAACAACAAAAAAGCTGATTTTACTCCAGGGAATCAGATTTAATTATCTATTTTCCTTTGGGTCTCAGGCAGAAGAAGAAATGAACTGTCCAGGATTCTCCTATTCCTTAACCCTTACTCACCTAACTGAAGTGAGATATTAAATCAATCAGGATTTTTAACAGTTATTGTGTAGTTACTGTATCATAAAACAGAGTTTAAGAATTAGATTCCAAGACTTGTAAGAGGACGTAAGTCCTCTAATAAGGTAGTTCTTAACTAGTAGTTTTGTTTTTTTAAATTAATTGATTTTATTTTTGGCTGTATTGTGTCTTTGTTGCTGCATGCAGGCTTTCTCTAGTTGTGGCAAGTGGGGGCTACTCTTCGTTGCAGTGCGAGGGCTGCTCATTGTCGTGGCTTCTCTTGTTGCGGAGCACGGGCTCTAGGCGTGCAGGCTTCAGTAGTTGTGGGGTGGGGGCTCTAGAGCGCAGGCTCAGTAGTTGTGACGCACGGGCTTAGCTGCTCCGCGGCATGTGGGATCTTTCCGGACCAGGGCTCGAACCCATGTCCCCTGCATTGGCAGGTGGATTCTTAACCACTGAGCCACCAGGGAAGCCCTTTATTAGTAGTTTATATGATATTAATAGATGTTATATGGAAAAAAAATCTCATGATGAATAAATTTAAAATAAGGTTAAACAAAAGTGAACTGCTATTATTTTTTTCCCTTGCTACAGTATATCTCTGAATGTTTTTTGAATTTTTAATGAATACACATACTGTAGGAATTCCTGAGAGGGAGATATAGAATGCAGTATCTCCCAAACTTGTTTAACTAATGAATCCAATTTTTCTGGAAGATATTTTGAAAACTGTTGCTTCTGTCCAACTCATTCTGTGCACAAAATGAAGCTGAATTTCAGAAAAGTGGCTCATTCAAAGTCACAGGTAATCATAGAACTAGGATTCAAGTTTTCTATGTCTAGAGGAAGAAATATTTTTCATGTCAATCCTTACTCTCCAGCCCGTCTCATGGACTGTTTTGAGAAGAATTCCAACTAGTCTTATATCTTTTTAAAAATTTTATAATATTGTGATGAAAAAATCACATCTACACTTTCAGTAGTCAATTGATTTAGCTTCTGAAGAATAGGAAAGTAGCTCTAACGCTTTGATTTTGGAGATTCTCTTTTATATTTTCTTCCTTTCCTTGTTTCTATAATTTTTCTATCATTTTCCTCCTACCATACTTCACGCTGCCTCAAGAATATGGTATGTTTTCCATTGTGTATATAATCTCACATTAGAGAGGACACTCTTCTAAACACCGTAGGCCCAATATTAACCCAGATTAATTATATTTGTCATAGATTCTGTCTAAATGGTAAATTCAGTATTTCTCATAATTATTTCATGTACCAAACATTAAATATTTTTTCCATTTATATTTTTGTTTAATCCTTATAAATCACCTTATAACATGGATAATATTATTGAGTCTATTTTATAAATCAGAAAAATAAACTTTAAGATGTTAAGGTACTAACCCAAGCTTTCTCATTGCTGAGTTGCAGTTGAAACACTGGTATTAGGACTCCAGAATTACACTCTTATTAATCACTCACCATGTGGTTGGATTAGCTTTTAAGTGCTCCCAGCAGTTAAATGTCAAATCACCAAGACTACAGTGCTTATTTGATGTGATGACTAAGCAAACAGAAACAATTATAGCAAGATTAATGCTCAATCGGTCACCCAACAGCACGCCAGTCTCACTCTTCAACAAAGCATCATTTTATCTTCAATACAAGGATGATGATTATGCCTGATATCAAGAACTTTCTAGGTGCAAACAAACGTGAATATTCAGCTGCATAATCAGTAAAGCACTAAGTTATGACAAATATTTCACTTATATTTAATAGCCCATCAGCAGGAAGAAAACAACACTTGAACAGAATATATCAAATATTATTTTTTGTGGATCAAGATTATTATGGAGTATAAAAGAATGAATTCAAGGCCCACTTGAGTTATTTGAGAAATGATCACTGCTATTCTAATCAATGTGTAACTGAGTCACATATTTAAGATACAGCTTTAACTTAGAATAACAAAACTTCTACATGCATTTTTTCTTAGTTTGTCCTTCCAGATCCATTTTCAGCAATTCTGTGCCCTACTTTGTGCCTCAGGAGACTGACCGGCAAGAACTTTGGTCACTAAGCTCCTTTGCTCTCTGGCTTCCCACACTCAACCGCTGGGAGGCTCTACAGGGTCAGAAGGTAGGAACATAAACAAGTCAAGGAATTTACTGCCTCTATCCCGTTCTGCCAGGATGCTGTTTGGCAGTGGTCCTCTCCTCTGTGTAAAGGCACAACTCTTGTCAGAGCTGTATTTCCTGTGGGTTCAGGTAACTGCTCCCTCTCCTTGCCCTTTTATGCCGAGAAGTGGTAACAGGTTTTCACTTTTACTATCCTATGTTTCTTGTTGATTTCCTTATTCCACCCACATCTCTATAAATAGCCCCTCCAACTCTTCAGATACCCTTTTGAGTAAGACATCTATATTCCACCTGGGACCCTGACTGATATACCTAATTTTAAAAAACAGAAACAATAAACAAACAAGGAGACATCCCTCCACGGTGGAGTGGCTTCTCACCACACTACAGCAAGCATAAAATGTTCACTATGCACTTAATGAGTGTTTGCTATTCTTCCTTGTGCTCAACAACCACACCTGCAACCCATTTGGGAGCTAATAGACTATTTTGCAATCCACTTGGTGTAACTTTGAATTATAAAGGCCTGAACTATAAGAAGTTCCTCCCTGAAGAAAGTTTTGATTCCTTAACTGATATGAATTGAGAATTTAAAAAGAAAATACTTTTAGTCACCATGAGCTATCTTCTTTTGTTCTTTTTTTTAACATCTTTATTGGAGTATAATTGATTTACAATGGTGTGTTACTTTCTGCTTTATAACAAAGTGAATCAGCTATACATATACGTATATCCCCATATCTCCTCCCTCTTGTCTCCCTCCTACCCTCCCTATCCCACCCCTCTAGGTGGACACAAAGCCCCAAGCTGATCTCCCTGTGCTATGGGCTGCTTCCCACTAGCTCTGTTTTACATTTGGTAGTGTATATATCAGTTCAAAAGTCACTTCTCGGCACTTCCCTGGTGGCGCAGTGGTTAAGAATCCACCTGCCAATGCAGGGGACATGGGTTCGAGCCCTGCTCTGGGAAGATCCCACATGCCACGGAGCAACTAAGCCTGTGCGCCACAACTAATGAGCCTGTGCTCTAGAGCCCGCAAGCCACAACTACTGAAGCCTGTGCACGTAGAGCCCGTGCTCTTCAACTAGAGAAGCCACCACAGTAAGAAGTCCACGCACCACAAAGAAGAGTAGCCCCCGCTCGCCACAACTAGAGAAAGTCCACGCACAGCAACGAAGACCCAACACGGCCAAAAAAATAATTTTTTTTTAATTTTTAAAAAAGTTACTTATTTTTGATAGTTGAAGCCAGTTACTAAGAATTTTGCCTTAACCACAGAGACTATCATTTTAATAAATCATGAAATCTTTATATCTGTATAAAGTATACAGATATATACTGTATACTTTATAAGTATAAGTATACAGCATCTGATTTTATACAGATATATACTGTATACTTTATAAGTATAAGCATCTGATTTTAATGCTATTTTATGGGAGAAAAGGGAAAATGAAAAGAGTAAAAGTAAAGGAAACAAGCATCCCCCTATATAGCATAATACTGAAGATATTCTAAGTGAAATATTAGTTATAGAAAACTCGGCTCTAGCTCTACTGAAGGAAAATGTAAATCCATGACACATTTAAAGAAACACATAAAAACAAAAATAAGGACATGAATAAGATCTTCAAAAATGAGTACAAATTTGTATTGTTGAATATGAAAAATGGCAGCTTTTCAAGATCTTACAGGCAATAATTGAAATAAAATTCTACATTAAGGTTTTTATTAATATGTAATTATTAATAATCACTATCTTTTATAATTTCAATTTTTCAAACCTCTGAATTTTTTTTAATGTTATTAGGACCACTTAAGATGATTAGTAGGAAAAACTAATATAATAATAAACATTTACTAGGACTTTATTATGTATCAGGCACTATGCAGTATGTTTTATACATACTAACTTATCCTCCAAATGACCAATATTAGCTGACATTTATTGAGAACTTAGCAAGTACCAGATAGTTTTAGATGCTTTATACACATGAACTCATTCAATCCTCACACCAAACCTACGAGCTAGGTACTATTACTATCTTCATGTTACAAATTAAAACCCTAAGGCAGAGAAAGGTTTTAAGCAACTTGCTCAAGGTTACACATCTATTAAGTGGTAGAGCTGGAATGTGAACACAAGGACTCACCTCAGAACTCATTCTTTTAAACAATTCTGTTTTTATCATTCCCAATTTACAATGGGGAGAACTCAGGCTTTTTAAAAAATTAATTTGTCAAAGTCACACAGCTAATAAGTAATTGTATTAGTTTACTAGGGCAGTCATAACAAAGTACCACAATCTGAGTGGCAGAAATTTATTGTCTCAAAATTCTGGAGACTAGAAGTCCAAAATCAAGATGTTCACAGGGTTGGTTCTTCTGAGGGCTGTGAGGGAAGGTTCTATTCCAGACTTCTTTCCTTGGCTTGTAGGTGGTTATCTTCATGTTCACATGGCATTCTCACTGTGTGTGTATCTGCCTCCAAATTCCCCCTTTTTATAAGGACAACAGTTGTACTGGATTAGGGTCCATCCTCATAACCTCATCTTAACTTAATTATCTCTGTAAAGACCCTAACTTCAAATAAAGTCCATCATGAGGTACTGGGGGTTAGAGCTTTAACACATGAATTTGGGGAGGACATAATTCAACCCATAACAGTAATTTGAGCTAGGGCTCAAATCTAAGTGTACTTTCAAGGTTCTGAAAATGATAAGTAAAAACCTCATTTTCTCAGCAACTCAAATATAAATACAAGCATACCATGGAGATATTGCAGGTTCCAGACTACCACAAAAAAGCAAATATCACAATAAAGTGAACCACACAAATTTTTTGGCTTCCCGGTGTATATGAAAGTTATGTTTACACTATAATGTAGTCTATTGAGTGTGTAATAACATTATGTATAAAAATGTACATACCTTAATTTAAAATACTTAACTGGTAAAAAATGCTAACCAATATCTGAGACTTCATTGAGTCACACAACTCACATCAAAGATCAATGACAGATCACCATACCAAATATAATAATGAAAAAGTTTGAAATATTACAAGAATTACAAAAATGTGATGCAGAGACACAAAGTGAGTAAATGCTGCTGGAAAAATGATGCCAATAGACTTGCCTGACACAGGGTTACCAAAAACCTTCAATTTGTAAAAATCACAGTATCTGCAAAGTGCAATAAAGCAAAGCATAATAAAAGGAGGTATGCCTGTATCACTTACATACAATCCCAGGATCCAAAGATGTACAGAGACTAGTGGCACTATCCTCCAGACTCCTTTAACTGGGACACCATGTTCTCTCTAAGGCACTATGACATGTACATTTAGGACCCTAATTCTCTAAGTGAAGGAAGATGATAGATAAATGGAATGACCATTCCTCTTCCTTAGTCACAGGCCTCTCTTTGGACAGTAAATTCTGAGAACCTATCTAAGCTGCACATCTCGTCTCTTAAATCATTTTACCAATAGTCACAACCCTGGGCCTATGGCAGGCCCAGCAAGAGCTGCTGACATATGTGTAGAAACAACTTAAATTATACTCCAGTCAAAGCCCTGTGAGGACTAAGTGGGCTTTAAATTAACAAATTGATTTTCTTAGCATTTCATAATTTGAATAAACTTCAAGTACATTCCCTTTATGTTAATAGACTTACAATGCTAATTTTTATTTTCTCCCAAAAAAAGATAGCTTTTTAGTACTCGGCAGCTAGGAAATGTGATTCTGGGGGCATAAAAAGCAGATGCTTCTTTAATGAAAGAACAGAGACCACAGGGCTGCAATGTTCCCCTTAATATCATTTTTCACTTCCAGTGTGCATTTATAACGATTATTTTAGGGGAAAAAATGAGTTCAAATGCTGAGCAAGTATTTTGAAATCTCATATTAGAAAGCTTATTCTACAAGATTAATCTTGGGTATTCCATAAAACCCCAAGTAATTATTTAAATCAGGGCCTAAGCAGGAGACGTACTTTGCACATACATTTTCAATACTGCTGTATTTGTTCATTAGCAAATGTGAAAAATCTGACCATGTGTTTTAACTATGGTATAATAGTAATAATAATAGACCCTCTGAGAATCCAAAGCCAACTTTCTCATGCAAGCAAGAATTTACTACTATTTTCTGAGACCCTTGCCATATGTGTAGAATTTTTAGGCACTTTACATACATTTTATCAAATATATGGTTTACCTATTTCTTAAAACAATTATGCAACATAGTTCTCAGTCTTCCTATTTTACAGAAGAAGACAGTGAGACCTCAAAGACTAAGTAACCATCTAAGGAATGGTATGTGTGGACATCAGTATTTGAAACCTAATTCTTCTTTCTTGGTGCCTCAACTATAGTACAGGGTGCCAGAGAGACAGCTAGTCAGAAGGGGCTAGCTAGCCTTTGAATTCAGAAGAAAAGGAGGAGTTACACACATACCACAGGATAGAGTAGACAAGGGATCCAATCTCGGGACTTGTTGCTAAAACATAAGAGGTCAATTACGAGCAAGTGCTCAGAGTTAAGCATACACACAGAATCATGAACAGCACTGGTGAGCAGACCTGCTGAGCTATATGCCTCAGACAGAATTTGCTTTTATTTTGCTGATTAAAGCTACCTGCAGTTAGTCCTTTATGTGTAGTTTAATGAGGATGAGTCTTGTAGGTGATTATTTCCTTTCAGCAAAGAAAGGGACAGAAATACAAGCATTAACCCATAATGTGCCCTGAATTAAGTGCAGTAGAGTTGGTGACTAATCTCCAGTACTAATCTCCCCAAGAAGGCTCATTCTTTCCAAGAAACTAAAGCCTGGATTAATCTGCTTCTTGGTCTTTCCAAATCTTCTGCAAGTCTACGATAACATTCCAGTGAATGAACATCTTGAACATCCTGGCAAATTCAAGCCCTTACCTATGTGTATGTTTGTTTATAAACATGGTAAAAACTTTACAAATAGAAAAGTACTGTTTTCAGAAAGCAGGAGGCAAGTCAATTTTTACTAAATAGGACATGTGCTATTTCCTAGGCGAAATGATTTTGGGTGGTCGAGAGGTGTCTTCTAAATTCATGTTTATAATTTGTAAGTAAATTATTCGTAAGTAATTTATAAATATAGATATTTAAATATGTATAAATGAATGTTTATAAAAATAAATGTATTTAATTGAAATACTCCTAATATTTTGTTTAGTCTCCAACTAAATACCTACATTTTTTTCCCAGTTAGAAAGATTTATGATGGTTCATTATCCCTACAGAAGCTCCAGAAGCTCAGTAAGTTTCTGTGACTGCTGCCCCAGCACGGTGTCTACAGAGATTTTTTTCCTTATAATAGAAAGTGCTCATTTCAGCCTCTCTGTCAAGATCCACTACTCCCTTTAATGACAATGGATTGATGATTAAGATGGAAAAGAAAACCACTAAGGATAACTCGTCTGTTCTTCAGATTTTCAAGTTATTCATTCAACTGAAAGGTGATTTTGCAATGGATGGAGGAAAGCGAGTTGTTGATGCAGTGTTCAGTTCCAGGGGGCAATTCAAGCCTTTCTGTCTAACACACATTGGTCTTGTGCTTGAAAGACTCAAGAATGCTTCAGACAGTTTCCACTGTCCTGTGGTACTTTGATGAGGTAATCCTGACTCAGCAGATCTATGTAAAAAAAAGCAAGTAAGCATTTTCCCCCAAATAAAAAAATGGATAAGGTAGGGTTTTTCAGGGGGTTCTTGCTCAGTTTTATTTTGAAGAAAAGTAGGGAAAACACAATTCAAAGGGAAATAGAGGGGTTATTCAAAATTTGAAGTTAAAAAGAGTCATGTAACGAAATGATTTTTCAGATCAAAGCTGCTTTGCCTGCATATAGCAGAGGCCCATGCAAAGATGTCAGATCTCACTCATGTCACAC